TTTATTTCGTTGGCTTCTCATCAGCTGCTTAGAGCCCAAATAAATTATGAGGTTTATGTACAAAAATGTTTTAACATACTTGCAAATTTTATCATGATGTCAGTTGACAGAAAGTTCCGCAATTAGTGAACAGTGCTCAGAAAGTTGCGCTTATTTAGTTTTTACACAGATGGTTAGAGTTTAAACAAAATAAATGTATGCATACAATGATAAAGGAGTTGCGTAATAAAGACGAGAGATGCGTAAGATGCTGAGCGACTAATAAATTAGGTAACAATGTACTGAGTTCAACTCAAATCATAGAAACAAGAGACAAACAAAATTACCCTATGTTAAAGGGTTGCGTCGGTGGTATAGCACTCGCCGACCATCCACATGGTTCGGGGTTCGACCCCCGGCCGACGCACTCCTTTACCTCACTGAGCCAGAAATAATGCTGGTAAGGAGGAAAGGTTGGGCATGAGGCTAGCAACCCCATACTGTAAAATTAAACACTGCTACAGAAACTTCAAGCCACTAGATTGAGGTCCTATGTTCCGCTGGGGAACGTGAAGGAAAAAGAAAAAAAGGGTGAGGGTAAAGCCACAGATTACGTAATCACCACTTTGATAGAAAGTTGTGAAAAGAATATTCTTCGCTGATCTGTGTTTTTCACTATTTATTAATTAACTGTACTACTTTCAATTCAGAAAAATGTTTACCATTCACCTCAAATTACTAAAACTATCACAGTGGCTTTCATATGTTTAGATGATTCTTTTATAGTTTTTGTTTGAAAATTTGCAGTGAAGTGTTGAACAAAAAAACAGTATGAAGAGCATATATATATATATATACTCTTCGTGACAGTATAACTTAATTAGATAAGCTAGACACAACTTTATTTTGTTGCAGCATAAAATCCATAAGCACTCTTATTATTATTTCCATGGATTTCCAGTGGAGCAGATCTTCAATTCACTCGGTTCTCCGAAGTCCTTTTTTTATATCTGCCTCCACGACTGACCATAAGCAGTCGTTTCCTCCTCACACGGCCTCCTTCAAGTCGCCCTCGGACGTGCAATTTCTTGTTTCCCAGTCAACTTCTACTCTAAGGTATTAAAGGTCGTTTTATGAAATAATCAATAATAAGGAGAAAAAATGCCTTGAAAAAGTTAAAATTATCCAGTGAACCAATACCGCCTACTGTGATTATCGCATTTTCGCTGAGTTTCACTTTTTTTATCGTATTATACCGAATATTTGTTTGTTAACCGATAGTTATTTGGTGTTTCAGAGAGAGAGAAAATGCCTCAGGTAGACTTCATTCATCTATGTAATGTAGTGTACTTACAAGACATTTTTAAAGACTGATAAAAAAACAAGCGTGGTTAGTTAACATATAATTAAATCTGTGGATGAAATCGTCAGTTTTAAAGAATATTGTAGCATACACATTTTTTTTGTGATTCTCTTTTCATTCGAAACAACAGTAATTCGCTTATGTTCAAGTGTTGGCTTGCAGGGATTTGACTGGTTATAGGATTTTATCGTGAGCTGATATCGGTTAGAGAAATGTTGGAAAACCTAGGAGTATTGGACAGCTGTGGGGCACATCAGGTCGTGTGTGAGGACAAATACTCGCCGCCAATGACACTCGCTAGTGGTCGCGCGCGCTATATCATGAATTGGTAAGTGTTAGAATTCATGAGCCATTGGATCGGATCCCAGTGGCTGAATGGTCTTGGGTTCGTACTCCGTCGGGTGCATACTGGGGAAGAGTCCTAGATTGCGACGAAACAGATATCCAGTCTTCCCAATGATTCTCTAACTGATGTCAGCTCACGATGAAATCCTGTAACTAATCCGCTGAGATTGATTGTCTACTCATCATCAGTCTGTAAGCTTTTATCTTATTATCTTGTAAGCGAAACACCATTAGTTGGTTTTTGGGACAGAAGTTCTTACAGTTACTGAAATAACAGCCTAAAAGTTGAAGTAACAGTAATTCTGCAGGTTGCTCATTTACTTCGCTTTCAAATAGTTCTGGTGGTAAAGCTTCCCTTATCACCTATGCGAACGTGCTGCCATGAAGGTTAGACTGAAGACAGGACATTGTTTACAACGTCTTGCTTAGTCTGTACGATGCTAGTACTTTAATATATTAAGCAATAATGTCGGCGATATTGTTTCACTCGAACTAAGTTTGTCATACTGACTGTATACATCTGGTTTCTTTTGAAGTTTCTATCAAGCGTGCTGTCTCAATTCGTGTAATCGTTGTTTTATACATTTTGGTCGTAATATCATTATAGAAGATCCTACTGATGCACATGAACTAAGTCAACATAAAGATTTTGCTTGCTGTCTTTCAGTAAATTAAACGACATGCGCTGATGGAGTTGTTTATACCGTATTACTTGATTGTGTAGACGTTTTCTTCTTCCGTAAGTTGTCTCCGACATCATTCATCACTTATGAACATCTTAACAACAACTCATTTCTTGTCTTGAAATAATAGAGAAGATTTGTAGCTCAGGTGGATGATTTGCAATTAAAAGTGTTCTCTGAGCTGGTTGGTTTAGTCGCGAAGCTTTCGTCGTCCTTCCGGACAACATCTTCAGCGCCATATTTAGCACAAAGTGAAATGATTTAAATTTCTTCATGCGTGATATAGTTGCGTCTCCTGGTTACTATCTTCACATATGTATTGACCACTTTCTATTGACTAGGATTTTAAACTTTTTACATCACGCATGAAGAAATTTAAATCATTTCACTTTGTGCTAAATATGTTGTCCGGAAGGACGACGAAAGCTTCGCGACTAAACCAACCAGCTCAGAGAACACTTCTAATTGCAAATCATTTCTTTTCTGTTGAGTTTGAATATTTAGGCTAAGGTATTGGTGCGCATTAAAAACTGCTGAGCTTTATGGACATATCCTTGGAACAATACATCACCAATTATAGTTGGCAACTTTTGGTCATGACGATTTAGTTGACGAAACCGCTTTTTGAAAAGTCACATACTCAACATGCTACCGATTTCTGAGTGGAGAACTACTCATACCGATTAAACAGTACTCGGTAATTAAGTCAAGGTGAAACAAACACGAAGTCGCTATATATATACGTATATATATATATATATATATATATATATATGGCGTCAACTGGTGTCACTGCAATCTTCGTATCACGCGAAAAGTATTTTGAACTTGTGACAAGAAAAACATGACCCGGAAATGCACACATAACGCTTCAACCTATTATGTCAATATTGCTAACATTTATTATATTTAACAGTAGGCTACCGTAAAAAAAACAATGCATAGGGGAATTTAGATGACCAAGCATTTATTTAAAAGATAATCATAATTTTTGTGAAACACATTTCTCAACACATAAAAAGACAGAATATTAGGTTACTACAGAGATAAAACAATTTAAAATTGTTGCAGAAAAGAAGAGAAAAGTTTCAAAAAAATATTAGATAAATAGAACAGATTATGCTGTGTTATAATAATGGAAATATCACATTATATTTCTTGCCGGACAAGTGATATTTTTAATCCTGTTTAGGTCTTGTCAGTGTACCTCGGTAGATAATACCATCTCGACCAGGATCCATGTTCCAAATGCCCCAAGAAACACCCCACACAACCAGAATCAAAGCTATACTTGTCCAGAGAGTGATTTGAAACAACTCCGCATAATCGTCTCTTATATCTACAGCTAAGTTCAACTTTTTCACAATTGCCGGATCCTTTAAGAAAAAAAAAACAATAAAGTAGAATTGTTTAAAAAGTTATACAGTGAAGAAATGAATACCAAGTCGAAAACATTACTCATAATAGATGGTTGGAGGCGATCGGCAGGAAACCTTGGACATAAATTTCGTGTTAGCTGACACTTGTCAGAAGGAACCAAAGAGAGGACTAGACACGTCGCATTAGTTATTAGTGTCCAATGAAAAAAATTACTCGTAACAACTAAACAATGGGAGAGTTTTTTTCCTTGTTATATATACAAAAACCAATGGATAATTAATCTATCATCCTTAAGATGACTTGAGATCGAGTTCAGTACACTTATCCTAGCAACCTGATAACCGATAAGTAATTCTCAAACCTCCGGTTTATTATTACTCCTCTACATATACAGGTAAGGTATATAAACGTTGTTTCACTTGTGGTTCGCGTGTTTTAACTGTCAAATAGTTTTACTAATAATGGAAGGTAAATTGTCCAGCCATTGTTTTCATCACTGTATATGCTATGGACTAGAGCTAGCACTATTTAGAGGGGTATACTACTTAACAGTAGTCAAACAAAACCAAATGTGTTCATATGATACTTTTAGACAGCAAGAGGATAATTCTATTTCAAGTAGTAAGTGAAACTAACCCTTTTGTCGCTTACAAGTTTATATCCTTAATTTCACTTGGGATAAGACGTTTGACCAACTAAATACACTCATCAGGTAGCAGTGTCACATTTTAATTCAACTCATATTTTAAAAAAAATAAACAACTATCAAAAACAGTTGGCTTTCATTCAATCATTCATTCACACTAGTGCAAATTAATCAATCACAGCCACAGACAAACATATATATATATATATATATATATAAAGAAACTGATAGAGCACATTAAAAAGAAGTTTTGTTTTGTTTTGGACAGATTTATATTGTTAACATAATTCAAAGATTTTTAAATTACAAAGGTGAGACAATATCAAGCAAACAAACGAACAAATAAAATAAATCATACATTGTGAAACGAACATTTCAAATTTTGTACATAAAAATCATTGGAAGTTAAAAATAGTCCCTTATATAAAATATATATATATATATGCATTGTGAAAGAAGATTTCGAACAGCAAGTTACACAAAAATACAAACAAAACGGGAAACTACGAAAACAAAACATCGGATAACGAAGTCAACCACCTTCTAGTCGAATGTATTGAAGAAATCGTTTTCAAAAACAAAACAAAACAAAACCAAGAAAACAGGGTTGAGCATTTTATGAGATCGTCAGAGTGTATCAATCACAATATATATATGATGTATGTCTAAAATAAAGCCCGTGTGTGCATGTCTGTCTGGTTGATTAACAGACACACACACAACAAAAACAAAATATTATGATTATTAAGTCAAATCAAAACAAAGGCATGAAAAGAAGAGAAAATATTTATTGTGCGTCTAGGATAGTTAGTCTTGTTTGTCGTATTTTCGAGCATGTTTAATATCAAAAATCAAATTGTGTAGAGCCGCTAATTCCATAGGACTACATGAGATGGCATAAATCACGAAAATAATAGTAATAATAATAATAATAATAATAATAATAATAAAGGATTAGAAATCATCGTTGAAAAAGAAAGTGTCTGTCCTTCTATAAAAGGTGAAAACTGATCAGTGCAATCAAATGATGCTGCTACTGTTGCTGCTAAAACACTTGAAAATGAATAATAAATAAATCGATATAAATAAATTCAGGAGATAAAATGGCGAAAAAATAAGTAAGTTAAGAAAACAAAAAAAAGAAAAATTATACTCCATAAATATGTATATATAAACAAAATATTTTCAAAAACGAGATTGTTTTCTTATAATTAATGTTGTTATTATTCCTCTAACCGTGTATCATCCATCAAGCGTCAAGTGATTAATTCTATATGAAAATAAACTGTCAGACCAAGAGTAGATTGATCCAGAACAATTTGCTTATTGACTACTTGCTCACAGGATGATGGTGGAAAATTGGTGAAAATACTTTTGAACGACATAGTGGACGATCCAATCACGTCTGAATGATGACAGATGCAAAAGTGATAAAATGGAACACAAAAAGGAAAAATAATTAGAGATATGATGACACTCTTTTTGAAAATATAAAACTGTTGAGACTAACTAACTAGATGAATTAACAGCAGGATAAAATATTCCATAGGTGCATAATAACAATAGTAATGATAATAATAATAATGAAACCTTTGAGAACAATGCCCTTAACTTGTAATGTGATATATACTTCACATTTTGATGGCGTTAATTTAGAAGCATTTTATGCATTGAAATGTTGATTTGCAAGTTAAGTTGCTTCAAAAGGACTTTAAAAACTGGTAAAATACAACTGAGACTTTATAAACTCCCAGCCATGAAACCGGAGCTCAAAAGTTACTTAGTCGCGTTTCATTGTATTATTTATCAATTCTTGTCCTGGAGAAGCAACGTTTCGTAACCTGGAACACTGGTCATTTTGTAATAAAAAATGACTCTTATCTTGATTAGGCCATTCGTCCTAAAGGAGAATAAAGCGTATATTAACCAGTAGTTTTAACGAATCATTTGTGTACATAACAGTCTACTTAGAGACAACAGCTATTCTGTGACAAAAAGTTCAAATGGACGAAAATCCTTCAGTTCCGCCTGATATAAACTAAAACATGCGTTCAAAAAATGCAATTGCATTCACGATTATTGATAGCCTGGACCACGTCGGCTTTATTCAATGTCTAAGTGTAAGAGAAAGACAAGGCTGCCTATTGTCGCCAATGATTTTCTTGATTGCAGTAGACTGGATAATGCGACAAACAGTGGGCAATGAGGAAACAGGCATAAAATGGACTGACACAAAAAACTTGGAGGATCTGGACTTCGCCGATGATATATATATATATGTCTGATTTCCCACAGACTGGAAGAGATATACAAGCGAAAAGCAACAAGTTGGCAGAAGAAGCGTCAAAGATAGGACTTCAGATGAACATAGAGAAAACAGACGTGGTGATGAAGATTCCTGGACAAGAACAACAACAGACAACGATCAGCATAAATGGGAGGAACCTGAAAGAAACAACCTCTTTTACCTACCTGGGAAGCATCGTTTCAAATACAGGCAGACGGAACTGACGAGGATATCAAAGCAGCGAGGATCGGAAAAGCAAGGCAAGCTTTCACTACTCTCAAGTCTGTGTGGAGGTCAACAACACTCAGCATCAAAAATAAGATCCGGATTTTCAACTCCAATGTGAAGTCAGTGCTACTATACGAATCAGAGACTTGCACTGCGCGTCATAAAGAGCATCTCAAACAAACTACAGACCTTCATCAACAGCTGTCTCCGATCAATACTCAAGATCAGATGGCCGGCCAGAAAAGATCAGCAACAGGGATGCATCTCTGGGAGCGAACCAACCAGGAACCGACTGTGAAACAAATAGGCAGGAAGAAATGGAGATGGATTGGCCATACTCTGAGGAAACCATCAAGTGACATCACTAGACAAGCCATTGCTCGAGTGGAACCCTGCCGAAAGGGAAGCGGCGAGTTGGTCGTCAGTGCGAGGGTGACTTGGAGGAGGTCATGTGAAGAGGAGATGAAAGCGTGTGGGCAGACTCGGAGCCAGGTGAAGACTCTAGTAGAGAACCGAACGCAATGGAGACGCACGGCTGAAGCCCTATGTTCCTCTAGGAATTAAAGGAAACAATAATAATAATAGTAATACAACCACAAAAACGAATCGAAATGTCATGGTTAGATAGTAGTAGTAGTAGTAGTAGTAGTAGTAGTGGTACATTAGATATTACGCATAAAATAGACCTACTCGATGGCGTGAAAGGTAACGCGTTGAATGCACTTATATGCAAGCATTTATCAGATGATTCAGGAACAAGGAAAGTTAATGACTCTGATGGCTTAGATTCATTTGATTGATTTGTGTAAATTTGACAAAATTTCCACATTTGATCAGTAATACTAATCTTGAAGTGAACTTCAAATTTATCTGGAACATATAGTAAGACAGTTGTTAGTTTACGAGATAAATGCATGAGTGGAGTTATTTGTGAATATGAAAATAAAAGAAGCAATTTAAAAGAGGCAGGATGGTTTTCAGAAGTTCTACTTCTCACAGTAGCACAGAACAACACAAGTATGTATGCAGCACTAATCAAGACATTCTAATAGAACTCACATAGAGGTGTAAGAGCTTATGAGGAATTTTCATCTGAGGCGGTGACGACAGGTGGTGTCCGTCAGGGGTGCCCACTGTTCCCATTTCTGTTTAATTTCATCACTGGTGGACTAGTGAAATTAACCCTAACTGACTTAAGCAACTTAAGCACTGACTTGTTACCAAGGAATAGTCTTGTTAACTTAAAATATTCGGGTAAAATTTTCCTACTAGGTGAAAACACTACCAAAATGCAGAGTCTGCTGAACACCTTGCGTACAGATCTTTGAATGTTTGGGAAGCGATTTGTTTCTGTCAAACGTAAGATGATGGTGTGAGACTGGACTGCACTCCTAGCTTAAAAATAAGGAATCAATTGGTGGAGCATATTGACCATACTTCGCCTTAAAAGTGGCATCAGCCACAGTGGACTGATTGCTGACGAATTCTCAGCGTTGATACAAAAGGCTCGTGTGGTATTTGCCAACCTACGTCATTTCCGGCGTAGACGTGATATCCGGCTATCGGTCAATGGACGCGTGCACTGAGTAGCAGTTCGCTCTGTCCCCTTTAGTCGCCACTGAAGGTGGAGGATATGAAAAAGCTAGTTGTCTTTGACCACAACTGTAAGCGTTCTATCTCTCGTGTTAAATGGTATCATACAGTGAGCAATATTGAAGTTAGGCATAATGGTAGGTAGAAAGACTAAATCGATCGATGAGGTTGTGAAGTCAAATCGACTGAATTGACTAGAGCATGTGTGTTGCGCATGCTAAGCCATCGCCTTTCTCATCGAGGAATGTTAAACAACATACAACTATGTTGAAAAAGAGTTAGAGGTGGTCAAAACAAAACCTGGAATCAATCCATAAAGTCTTTGACTGTTAGTTGGCGTCACGTAGGGAGGTCCTCATGGCTCTAAAAACTTATGGCGATGGACTGTTGGCAGTATGACTGAAATTCATTTGATATGAACTCCTAGCTAATGAAATTCTCACTATGAACCATGTAATTATTCTTCCTCAAGTATGGAAAAGATTTGTAACTGCGGTGGATCATATTGGCATAGTTGTGTTCTGTGGGCTGAATGTTTCGGTGTCAACCCTGTTTAAAAATTTATTTTTCACTACTTTATTGTGTCAACTTGAGCTGGTGAACGTTTGTGCTAAGTTATCTGTTAAAAACTCAGTCAGGCAGAAGAAACAAAATGCAGGAAAATCGATGCATTTCAATAGAATTATATGATATTCTGTCTTCCGGTTGTGTATAGACACAATTTTACTGTTAATAAATATTCATCATGGAAAAAGTTTCGTTATGATCAGATAATGTTTACATTCCACTGTTTAAATTTAAAAAAACCAACTTACAAAACCCTTTCAAATGACAGTACCATTATAACTGTAACTCTCCAGTTAATGCCATACACGAACTTAATTACTCGAAAATTTCAACAACCCAACAATGCTTTTTCTGTATTCTTTTGAAATTTTTCTTAATCTACTACACTGAGTGAGAAAACTACGGTAAACTAGAAGAAATCCATAGTTTAAAGTTCATTAAACCACATCCTGATGAGTCTTCTGTCCTCTGTCTGTATACAACATATCATCCATACGGTGATTTAAATGTTTCATAATGCCGTCCGTAAAAAAAGAGTGTAAAATTGATTCGATTGGCACAAATAAAGACAAAAACATTCTACATAAACTGGAAAGCATTTAAAAGAAAGATAAACTAATGAAATGCCTACCTTGGGTGTTAGTCGTGCTAACTTTTAAAATTGTAAATAATAGACGTTTTGGGTATTCGCTTTTGATTGCTTCAGTAGAAAAGAATATAAAAACATAAAAAAGTATAATGTTTATATAATATATGCTAAATTATATATAATACAGAGATTATTACTGATTATAGCTTATCAGTTTCCAAGCATCTTTAGAGTTATTTTATTGTATTTTGCCTGGTGCGAAAATTCTAGTTAAAACATACCATTTATCAACATAATACAAAAATTAGGAGTGAGTCCAAAAATCAATTTTCTTCATTCCACAGTAGTTTTCTCAATATCATGAGGGGTAGAGTGATAGTGAAGACAAAAGCTGTAGTGACAGAATCGACCATGTTCTAAATGAAGAATAAATCTTTAATGATGAGTGTTAATAAGTATAAACTTAGCTGAAGCAATTTGTGATGTGCTGACACCCAAAACATACACTTACAGGCGAAAACCAACAAGTCGACACAAGAAGCATAAAGCACAAGACTTCAAGTGGACATAGAAGAAAACGAAGGTGATGAAGATGACCAACCAACAACAGTAAGCATCAGTCACTATCAACGGAAGAAATTTTAAAGAGATCACTTCCTTCACTTATCCAGATATCATCGTTTCAACTACAGGCGGAACGACTGGGGATGTCAAGATCAGGACAGGAAAGGCAAGACAGACTTTCCATCAGCCTGAAATCAGTCCGGAAGTCTTCCGCAATCAGAATAAAGAACAAAATTCGGATTTTCAAAATAAGTGTCAGAAACTTGGAGTCAAGGGAAACATTTCCATCAACAGCTGCCTTCACTCCATACTGAAGATGAGTTGACCGGCCAGAAAGGATTGAGCAACAAGTAACTCTGGGAACGAACCAATCAAGAACTTATTGCTTGACGAAATTGTAGAAGAAAATGGAGATGGAACGGGTAAACACTCAGGAGACCGCCTAGTGACATCACGCGCCAGGCTCTTGAGTGGAAGCGAATTGGGTCCGAGGGTCACATGGGAATCATGTGAGGAGATGCTAGCTTATGGGTAATCGTGAAGCCAACTGAACAGGAAACAGTAGAAATGTGCTGCTGAAGCCCTATATTCCACTCTGCAACAAAGAGAAAAATAAGTAATAACACGGAAGGGCAGTGCACTGCACTGTTAAACGTGTTGATCACAAGTATAGGTTCATAGACAGATGTGGACCAGCTATTATTTTAGTGAAAGTCTGGTGAGTACATTTCAGGTCAGATTACCACCAATAAGAGATTGACACAAATGACGATAATGACAATGAATATCAACAAACCTATCAATTAAACTTACACCGTGAAACTGAGACCAATGCGTTAGACGAACTATTTTCCGCCCGAATAGTTTCTCTTAAAATCGATACCCAAAGATCGCTGTATAAACGCATAAAAAACAGAAAAGAACCATTTTAATCATTAATTTATGTGTGAAACAGAAACGTATTCAGTTTGCACATTGGAAAGGAACCTAATGTTGTTAATTAAAATAAGATTATGAAAAAGTTATACACAGGTGACCAAAAGTAGTATAGTTTAAAAGCCCTATATGAAAAATACGAAAATATTGAAAAAAGTGTACGCAAGTATTTTTAAATCTTAACATTCCTCTGATTGCGATCACTTGCAACATTGAAATTCGACTGACGAACAGATAAAAAGAACATTATCAGATCTTCATTTGACACGAAAGTAAGGAAAAAGCCTATATTCAAAGCTGTCTGAACATAGCATTAAATAAACATTATAAATGCAGATAGACAAAAAAACAAAAGCATAAACTTACCATAGTTGGTTCGATGGGGCCTTCAGTGTCACTATAGGATGCCAAGAGTTTCGTCTTTTCAGTAGGGAGAAAATACTTTCTGTTTCATTTTTAATTTCTGATGAATGTCTAGCATTCATTGTAAAATTATTCGATGATTCAGTCAGTGTAGAAGTGGATGCACTTCGAACCATTTCACTGGTCATTTCATCATTTGAAGATTTATCAAACGGTGCAGAATAAGGCGGTATTGATGAAAAGCTATTGGATGTCGATGCAACCGATCGCCTAAATGATCCTTTTAATACGTAAATCTGTGAAGAGATGAATAAAAAAAACATGAGAATAAAACTATATAATAAAGAAAAAAACCAGGACACTTAAACTGTGAAACCTTATCAAAAATATGTGCCACGGTAGCGAAATCAAGCAGTATACTGATTTCATTGGTGAAGCTGATTTGCATGTATCGCTAAAATTACATCCTCGCCAGTTCAATGGTATGTTATGATTAACAATAAGTCTGATTGGATAATCTACCGGATTGGATAACCAATTTTTTTTAAAAAAAATAAACGACTATCTGAGCACATCAGTCATCTTTTTCCTTGTGAAAAATGGCAGAAAGGAAGTTTGCCGCTGTTATACAGAACATCACACCAACAACAAAGATATAAAAATAAAAATATGCATAAGCAACTTTCGAAGTGAGTCATTTACGGAATAAATATGATGTATATATATGTTACATTGATTGAACGTTATCATTGATGAAGTTCATAAATTAATAAGCACAGGATGTAACACAACACGCATACTGATTGCTTAAATCTACACAAATACACACCTACTTGTGGTCGTATAGTCACGCTTACTTAGACAAGTGCAATGGATGTTAAAGCTGTCTAGATATTCAAATTTATGCAAAATAGTAAATAGAAAAAGTAATAATTATAATAATAGTAATAATAAAGTAAAAAGTCAAGTAATGCAATTTAAACAAAAGTTGAAATACACTTACTTGATTAAGAGCTAATGGTTCTTTGTATAGTGTAAACGACCATTTCAAATTACGCTCATTTGTAGACGGTAATTCAAATAACTGCCCATTAGTATTATAATTTGGTGTAGTCAGAATTAAGTATTTGTTGAATAGAAAGCAGATGAACTCTCGATTGTTTTTAGCCTGGGTTAGTGAAATGTGTTGGAAAAATACGTAACAATAAAGAAAGGAAGTTTGAGTAATGCAACTGATAAGTAAATAAGGAAGAAAAAAACAGGATCAATATTTAATCAAGACAAACACACAGTAGTCATTTGGTTTGTATTGACTGGGAGTGGAATCCAGGATGAGCTACAACTAGTCAGCCATAGGTGGGACTGTTACATACTTTGAAAATACAGAATGCAAAGTAGCAAATTTTCATTATATTCGACGGAAATTAAGAATTAACTGAACCCATTGATGCTAAGAATACCAATCACATTCCAAGGGCGAAAATAGTCAGTACACAGTTCCATATACTCAGAGTTCAATGTTCATAAAGTATTCAAAACATTCTGAATTGATTTAGTTTCCACATTATCTGATCATCTTCACTTAATTTTCCTTCGCCTGGTATACTTTCTTTGATACGATACATTAATGCGGCCACATTTGTAGCAAAACAATGACGTATCGAATATATATTCGATATAAATTAACAAAGAAGGCGTATTTCGAAACCTAATCTGATAACATAAAAAATATTCAAAAGCAAAAATGAGCATCTTTTTTGTTCTTTCAATAATAGCTAATTACAGTCTGGAATTATCATGAAATATATTTAAGGATTTAAAATTGCAGAATGTATATTGTCTGTTATAGTAAGTTTAATAGGTTGCCCGGTTGGTTGGCGAGTGCTACTGATAAGATTTATCAGTGATATATAAAGAGAAGTTCATCGGCATAAAAATACCAAATAACAGGGAGATATCTGAGAAGGAAAATGATACAGAGTTGTGGAGATACATGGGAGACGTGAAAGGAACCCAAAGAAACACAATAATGAAGGCCAAAAGTACCACAACACGAGGATCTGTGCAGATGGTGCGTTGAAGATGAGATATGCACAATTTGGTTATATGTAGAGATGCCAATTTCCAAATAAAGATTCCCTTACCAAGTCTTTCGTCTTCTACCGTTTCAGTAGTAACAGCTGAAGACTATTTTGGTAAACACGGCCCAAAATCACTAACACATTTTAAATCTTGTAAGCAATCACTGCTTGCAGTTGATTATTTGTTTCCTTTCTTCCGTGCTCTTTTTTGTCATATTATTCTGTGGATTCGGGATGATTTCTTTCAAGGGTTTTTACTTAGATCTATCCATCGTGATGAAAAAAACAACAACAATACAATGTCAGAAAAAAGACGGAAGCAAACGCGAATCCTACCTTATACAGTGTACCACAATGAACCAAACATGGTTTATCATTATTATTATTATGATTAATTGCTGCATAGCCGGCTGAAGATAACCAATCCAAAAGCCATTTATCTGCGCCAACTAATCGTGAACGAAACCAGTCAATTATTTGATGTTTATCTTTAGACCCAATGGCATGATCGATTGACCGCAAAAGTGAACATATCAAATCGTGAGCCTTGGAAAAATCCCCGTAGTTAGGGTACGATGGATCTGTATTTGCGACAATCTAGTGTTAATAATAATAGGAGAAGGAAAAAATATCTTAAAGGAAAAGAAAAATGCATGGATCTACGTTACAATATCACACAAATAAACTAGGCATTTATACACTGAATGCAAATAAGGTCATTCTCACTTGAATATTTTATTCATGTAGATAACAGTGTTTGTTTTTCTTAAACACAAACGAACGTTGCATTTAACGATTAAAAACATTCTAAAGCTTTTATTGATGTAAATGACTATGTGACCAACAGACGAGCAAACAGTTCAATGGACAATAATCAAGATTTTAAGAAGATATACAATCAAAAGATGAGACACTAGAGAATTACTTAAAATTAGAAAGAAAGTTACGTCAAAAGGCGTTTAAAATTTTATTCGCAATATGGCAAAGTTAAGCTTTAAGCGCCAATAGGTATTATTGGGCAAATGACCTTGAACAGACATGAAAATAATGAATTTAAAGGCATGAAACTGTTACGCAGGATATTTTCCTCTGTAGTGTGACAAAAATACCTCTTAGTTTCGAAGTGGAGTATCAACAGATCAATGGAACCACATTCTATGCATGTAATTAATTATCTAGGTCTTCTAACCCTAACATAGAAATATTCCTAAACTATCTCGAACCAAACTTATGTAGCCCTCATAGGTGTTAACCTAACCCTAACCTGCCCTTAGCCTAAATCTTAACATAATCTTTCTCAAACCTAACCTGAAACCTGCCAGATATCCCATTTAATAAAATAGCACTTTGCAAAGCATATTTATTCATGATTACAATATCATTTACCAGGTTTCACTAACTTGCTCACTGAACGTTTCAAGGTTACTGGTGCGGTCGCACTCCACTGGTCATACTGGTCCTCAAAGTTTAAACTAAAATGTCTAAGTATAGTGGTCGGCTCAGCCATCACATATGACTTTATAAATCATGAGGATGAAATAGATTATCACAATGTAAACTGAAAAAAACTTGATACATATAACTAGATTTCAGTTCTAAATACAGAGTCACTGCGAAAACCGAAGTACAGCATTCTTGGATTTCTGCAAACAAACGTACACCTCTAAGCGATCAATATTTTACAAGTAACACAAACTACGTCGTCTTTTTACATGACAAACAACGGAATGAATGAAAACTCAAGGCGAGCAGCAAAAACTAAATAGTCAGAAACGCGAAACAACTATATCACTGACTAATAGGACAAATTGAAAAGATAGGAAAGCAGCTCACCTTTTCTACTATGAGTTTATATTTTGTTACACGCTGCATAGGTTTCAACAGATATGATGACAGTGGTAAGCCTTTAGTTTTTGTATTCTTCTCAAATATTTTCACCAATTGATTTAAACGATAATTAGACGATAGACACTGTTGTAAAGTTTCACATGCTACTCGTTGTCTGATACAATAGAGGCGGTAGACTTTAAACTTAACCATCTATAAAACAGATAAAAACATTCGGTAAGCATATGGATAAATGAGTAAAGAAAGACCACAGAATCAGCAGGAGAAATATAACAATGGGATAATGACTATTTGTTCTGAAACAGGATTCAGGTCAATAGTCTTTGAATTACCCAACATCCTGCTTTACTTACCAACGAAGCATGACGGCTTTGTCCAGTTTGGATTCAGCATCTCAAAGCTTCGTCAACAAACAGGTGGACAAGTTAGATGAAGACAATAGATTTGAATCTTGCCATAATACACAGCTCCACTCCGATTTCAATCACCAAGCCACAATCACATCATTCTGCCAAATGAAGAACATCTCAGATGACCAGATTCACAACCAAAGCACTGCAAAGAACATGATCAGATTATGATTAACCGACTGATCAATCAAGACAGAACCGCATAGGTTCGAGTTAACACACTCAGAAAAGTACACATAAAGGTAGGGAAAAGAAATAATAATAATCCGTTGGTTCTTAGGAGACTGGGGTGATACGCCTCCAATGGCTCAAAACAACAACCAAAGACCACACGAAAGTGCGAGATTTTTTCATCTGACTACCTTTAAATCTCTTCCGTTCCAGTCCTACTAATATTTGCTCATCGAGAAAGTATCTGGTTCAGCATGCATAACGCATATTTTTGCCGTCTCAATAAATGCAATTTAAAAATCTCACTGATTTAATTTACCTATTTAACTAACACGAAGTTAAAGCTCCCATGGTGAAAACCTGCCAATCTTTGAAATATTCTATCTTCAACGGTTACATCTCAAAGTTGTAAAGGAGGATTAAATGAAATGTCGCAAAGTACATACATCCTTTGATTAGCAGAAGAGTATCATCACCCTACCAAGTATAAAGCAAATTGGAAGTGCTAGACCAAATGTTTTGTGAATGTCGACAACTCTTCACCAACCAGCTCACCTAGGCCGAGAAGGTGAACATATTCAACCATTTTATTATTTTTTCCCTTCACGATCCACAGTGGAACATAGAGCTAGTGGCTTGAAGTTTCTGTAGCAGTGTTTATTTTATTTTACAGGATGGGGTTGCTAGCCTCATGCCCAACCTTTCCTTTTCACCAGTATTATTTCTGGCTCAGCGAGGTAAAGGAGTGCGTCGGCCGGGGATCGAACCCCGGACCATGTGCATGGTCGGCGAGCGTCCTAACCGCTATGCCACCGACGCACTTAACCATTTTATTACCTATCGTTAAACTAGGAATCAGCGCGAAACAGTTCCCCAACATCATCTGAGAACAGATGATTACCTGAACAGAACTGTATCACATGATCAACGTTAACGGCTTATTCCCTATGGAATTTTGCAAACACACCTAAATATGCTTTTTTTTCACTGGCTCAGCTCCATTCTATACTCGAGCGTAAAAACCCCTCACTAAGACAGCTGTATTTGAGCGTTTTACTGTCAGTGGCAAACTAAACAGCTTCTGATAAAACATGATTTCATCATGTAGTCTCACAAATGATCGATTAATTATACCCTACAAATATTTTCCAATGTTTCAGGAAATTAAAAAAAGCAGAACATTCGAATTGTACATACAATCTTGAAGGTTATAACTCCTGAAAGGTGAGAAACATTCAGTCGTTTTAGAACATAAGCATTTCGCTTTCTAGAGTCATGAAAACCAAACAATAGAGCAGTGATTCGATACAACAGAAACCAACAGAGTAGAACTCAGTGTGAAGGAATCTGAATCACAGCGAGTGATATATATATATATATATATACATGTATAATACATTCAAAAACATTGTGCCGAAAAACATATTGAGTAAAGAAAACACTAGCATGTATTTCTTATAACTATGATACTTTGAACGATACTCATTAAGTATGCATATCGATTAAACACAAGAGAAACAAAGAAACCTGAATGTATATTTCGGTTCATGCTAATTAACTGAGTCGAAAATAGAAGATTTGAATATTCACCAAAAAAAAAAACAATGTTACCGCAATATATTGACAAAAACATTTTCATGTATAAAAAGCAACGAGGTGATACATACTACACGATATGAAATAATGTAAGTAAAACTTAACTTGTTGACTGAAGAAACTAGTCCATAGCTTGTTAGAAAGTTTTTCACCAGCACGTCTAGAGGATCATTAACAGCAAAATTTTTCAATGTGTGTATTCTTCTGAACGGATATTTAACTCTGATGATTTTATCAGTGGATCTTGTACACTATCCATTTTTTTGTGGGTACTTGTCGTAGTCTCTCTAGTCTATTGTCGATCACACCATTAGTTCAGGATTAGTTTCCTCTTTTAGGCAGTGGGTCAGGATACCAATATAAAATTATGATTGGTAGGAAGCAAATAGTTTCAGTAATAAAGAGCGTGATATCATTCTTTTTTTTCAGATACAGTGGTGACATCACTTATTGAACACTAACGCGGTCGAATGATTTTTGAGTGATCCAAAAATGTTGGCGAACTACTTGGCAATTTCATTGTTTGGTGAATTATTCATAGCCAAAATTAACTTTGAATTATTTGAAGGGATACAGTCCTCGGTTTCCGTATTTCCACTTTCATATGGTATTTCGAGAGAGAGAGAGAAAGTCACTCTACATTCAACTTTAGATATGAATGATTCACCCCACCACACTATCTACCAAATAAATTACTTATTGCAAAATGTTAAGAAAAACATAAATGATATTTAGGTAAGGAAAAAACACACTTACATACATGTTTCAAGAGGATTTGTCCAATCGTCTCAACAGGACTACCAGTTTCAACATAATTTTTTAAATCCCTGTAGGAAATAAAGAAACACCAGTATTAACTAGTCAATCTATTAATTATACGTTATATTTTTCTTTTAGTGTTAGAACATCTTACAATAGTAGCGAAGCAGATGAAAACAAGTTCATAGAGATGTTGGCTTATTTAGACTTACTCAGATTTCATCAGTGCAAAAAAGAAGAAAAAATCATATTTATTCCGTTGATAGGGGTGGTATGTGATCTAGGCCTAGAGTGTGATCACTATTCATATATATATACATATATATATATAAACTTATCACGTATTACTTCAAGAGTTCACTTACTGGACTAATTAATAATGCAATTTTTCTATCTCGTAATGTCCATCGAATAATTTCATTATGGATAAATTTTTATTTGTGATAAAATCACACAGTGTTACACAGTAATATTTACTGATGATCCATGTTTCAAGCACAATTTATTACTGCTCATAATCATATCAAGGTACTCACATAACTTTCTTGCTTCGTTTATAATATATATGAGTAAGAAATGGTTAGGCATTTGAATAAAATCAATATAAGACTTGCGTGAAACAGAATGGAAGATAAAAATCTTTGCAATTAATAGTGTTCTCTGAGCTGGTTGGTTTAGTTGCAAAGCTTTCGTCGTCCTTCTGGACAACGTCTTCAGCGCAATATTTAGCATAAAGTGAAATGATTTAAATTTCTCCATGAGTGATATAATTGCGTCTCCTGGTAACTATCTTTACATATGTATTGACCATATTCTATTGACTTGGATTTTAAACTTTCTGGTCACCTGATTTACTTTTTATTAGTTGGTATATTTCGTCTATATTAACGTGGATAATGTCAAAATCTTAGACAGAGAAAACACCAAAAGTGCCAGGGAATTCCTAAAATCCTGGTACTCAAACGTAAATGCAACTGACAAGCATGTTAATATAGACGAAATATACCAACTAATAAAAAGTAAATCAGGTGACCAGAAAGTTTAAAATCCAAGTCAATAGAAAATGGTCAATACATATGTAAAGATAGTTACCAGGAGACGCAATTATATCACTCATGGAGAAATTTAAATCATTTCACTTTATGCTAAATATTGCGCTGAAGACGTTGTCCAGAAGGACGACGAAAGCTCTGCAACTAAACCAATCAGCTCAGAGAATACTATTAATTGCAAATTATCCACCTGAGCTACAAATCTTCTCTATTATTTCAAGATAAACATCTTATTTCCCATCTTACTGACTAATAACACTCGTGTGAATTCAAATCCTGGTGTATTTTATTGATAACACTAATATTATTTCCGAATGTGCTTTATCTTCCATTCTGTTTCACGCATGTCTTTTATTGATTTTATTTTACTCATGTTTACTCAAGTTCATTATAAACGAAGCAAGAAAGTTATGTGAGTACCTTGATATGATTATGAGCAGTAATAAATTGTGCTCAAAGTGTTATCAGTTAATATTACTGTATAACACAGTGTGATTTATCAAAATAAAATCTTATCTATAATGGAGTTATACTCTACCACAGTGCCCAAGTTTTATACTTATATCACCAACTTCTAACTTTATATTACTATATAGTCTTTTTGTATCGATGTTTGAATTAGAATAACTGTTTTGAAGAAACAAACGTGGAATCCACAGCCAAAGCATTTTATTCGTTCAGCAATACTGATCGAAAACGTTCAGCTGAGAATATTCATTGTTATTTAAAACAGAACAATATGTGATTTTAATAAGAGCTACTCATTGAAAAAAGAATTATAAAAACGTGTCAAGGCAGGCAATTCAAAGAAACTAATCAAAAACCTACTGGCATAATTCAGTTGACGTTTCTATCAGTTCATCCCAATGAGGAAAAATGTCATCCAGCAATTGTGCATTAAGTAGCTTAGCAGCTTTTAACGGTTTATAGAAAACCTATAAAAGGAATAGTTTTGACACAGAAATGTATTAGTGAAAATGGATAACAATGTTAAAAAATGTTCTGTAGAGTCAGTGGTTCAATGGCAGAATTTCTCGCCTACCACCCCACACACCTGTTCCGACTTCCATTCCTGACCAACCTCCCCACCTAATAATACTAACCGACGGTAAGCCCAGAAAAAGAGGGAAAGTTGAACGTGAGACCAGCGCAATCCCACTCCATAGAAGAAACAACATGCCTGTGTTACTGAAATTTCATATGCTCGAAGCCTTGCATTCCACTAATGCTACAAAGAAATGAAGAAAAGAGATGTTGGCAATGACGTCAATGATTTGTGTCAACTATCTATCTATCATTTTGTGTCGTGAAGTGAAGTACGAATAGACACAATGTTAGATAACGAATGCTGCACGATTTATGTCTAACAGTAATAGACGAATTCCAACCTATCTTACATAATTACTTACAACTCATATCTAAAATTTAAAGGTACACAATTTAATTCGAAGTTAACAGTTTACGAGGAAACAGTTAGGTAGCAAAGGAAATGCTAACAGTCATGACTTGAATGACCGCTGTTATTAATATAGGAACTAATATACACATATACATATTCTCAAATTAATTGTTTAGGTGATGTTCATGTAAGCCCGTTTATTTTTCTTTAGTAACTAGGCCGGTTAGATTTTCATAGTTTTACACTTTTTGCTGTTGAAAAATGAAACTCGACTTAGTCAATTATCACCTCGATTGAGAAGTATTCATCCAGTTAAGTATTATTGGTGCGCGGAAAAGATCTCTCTAACACAGCAACTGGATAACATAGCTTCCATTTTAAGAAATCAAACGAGAAGGAATCTTTACCTGTTGACTAAGAATAATTGAAATATTCATTTTGACTGTTAAACACAGGATATCCTAATTGTTTTCAATAACGAAAGTAGGTCTTTTTCTACAGTTAAACTTTGGTAATAAACTGAATCATTGGAAATTATATAAATTAACTTGATAAGAGAATAAATTATTTATAAATATAACTAAAAACATCCATTTCTGTTCATGAACAAACCAGACTAGACAAGACTTACATCTCTCACTTCGATCAAGCTTTGATTGTAAGCTAGTTCAGTTTCAATGAGTTCTTTCACAGCGAAATCACGTTCACGCACTTTCCTAGAAATATCAGTGTCCGCTTATAATTTAGAAAGGAGAAGGAAGGTTTAAAAAGGAAAACAAAATAGCTTGAAACAAAATTCGGCTGTAACGGAATAAAAAACATTTTTTAAAAAACACCACTAAGGTTTTAAAAAAAATACAGTAGAACAACGACTTAGTGAAATATAAGTTGGAAAGAACATTAACTAATTAAATAACTGACAAGTGCGCTTATGGAAATTTTGTAAAAAATAAAACCCCTATTAATCTTAAGTTATCCTCCTGTTGGCCAATGTTTTCAAACAATTCACCAAGACTGTTTATCAACTCCAACTTACGCATTTTTATCCTATATTGAAATTGCACACACATATCTTGGAAAAAAAATTAATTCTCTAAATGTGAGACAAACTGCCACAATAACTCTGACATACACAGTTTGCAAGAGATGTATGTATGCACATGCGTAGATCATATCACATCACACATTAAAATGGACATGCTTTCTCTTAAAGTAAAAAAAGTGAAAGAATATTTTTTTTTGAATAGAGAGATTGCCTACAGTTAGTCAACACCCATTAGGTAATGTATTCATAAGAAAGTCAATAGGTTATTGATATGATCATGCCATCAGTTAAATGATGAGTATAAAATCTAAGATATAATGAATTATCTACAACTCACACCTGAAGTGCCTTAAGCACACATCGTATACTGTATATATGATAATTTATGCATTCATTTCATCTTCAATGTCAACTAAATTTAATTCTGTTGATAAAAAGGAGAGACTATGACTTACGATCAAGAAAATAAAAGCCACGAAAGCGTAGAACGCATTCACTAACCAAAATTTATGTTAACTGCAAGTGTATATATATATATATATACATATATATATATATATATATATAACTAGTATGTTAGTGAGATTTATAGTAATACAGTAGAACAATTAGTACTTTAGAAAAATGGTGACAAGACAACACACAAAAGAAAAGACGAAACAACAAGTCAGTCTTGTAAACTACAGTGCATGTGGTCAGTATGTGATGCACCCTTAGAAAATGGTTACATTTAAACAAATAAGTCATAAAAGTATAACACCATCTACATAGTGCACACTAATGATACACAAACAGTAATTTACTACGAAGTTATAAAATACTCCCATGTAATCCAAACAGCATAAACACGGTAATCATGCGCCTAAAACAAATACCAAAATAATAATGTCACCTCAAAGGTGATGATGTTTGAAGACATTTAAATTCATTAAAACCAACTGTTTCACAAACTAAAAAATAAAATACGTGAGTAATTTGTTAGCAGATAAAAGTTTAGTCCGATTAGAAGGAGATAAAAGCATCGAAGCTGTTAGTTACCATAACAACGAATAATTAGACTAAACTTTGACAATTTAGCTGGTAACTTTACGTAAAAAAAAAAAGAAACTAACCAGTTAGTGTATGACAGACGAAAGAAATCATACTAATTAAAACAGAAAGTAAGGAGGTGATTGTTATTGTCCGCCAGCATAAAAATCGAATACCATTTGGGTTCAAGCAATTGAAAGTTGTCACAGACAATTATTTCTTGCTTATTCCTAAATAACCTCTAGTGTTATTGCATACAGTTTTAATATTTTGAAGCTCTACACAGCTTGGATGATACTGACAGCTCTTCACAAAAATGATACGACAGTTTTAACAAAGCGTTAACCCCAAATGATGATGAGATTTCTCACGGTTTTTAAAAAAAAATTCATTTTGCACAAATAGCCTAAAAATGATGTGGGATGAAATGATTAGCATTACTTCTTCAGTTGTCGGGAAGAAGGGAGAAACTTTGATTGGACACTAGTATCTAGTGTGATGTGTCTAGTCCTCTCTTTGGTGGAGGTTGAATTCTACCAGTCAGGTTTGCAATGTGATCACCATTCTAGACAGCTCACCATCACAGCACACACTGATTTGATGATATTAGATGGTTGGAGGCAATTGGCAGGAAACCTTGGACTTAAATTTCATGCTAGTTGACACTCGTTAGCAAGGCTTATCTGTAACCCTGAAAGAACTCATGGCCAACTAGAATGGTGGCCACATTGAAAATTTGACTGATAGAATTCAGTCTGCACCGAAAATTGGACTAGATACATCACACCAGTTACTAACTAGTGTCCAATGAAAGTCTCCGATACAGTCCAACAGGAGATCAGTCGCCAGCCCGAATAGCTCAGTGGTAACGTCTCTGAGTGCATGTGGCACTGAGTGAAGCTGGTCCGAATCTCAGAATTGACATGAGTTCCTTCAAGGCTACAGATACGCCTTGCTGGAAACTGACAACTAGCACGAAATCTAGACCCTAGGCTTCCCATGGCCGATTGCCTCCAACCATCTAATATCATCAGAATGGAGGATCCATTCAACAAGCACAAGAATGCAGTAAAAAATAAAACAAACAGCAACAGATTGTAAATATGTCGGCTTAGAAGTGATTAGAAGGTAGATGCTGAAATTTTAGTTAGCATTTCAGTATGGAAATAACAGCATAGCGTAACATTTTTTTTCTATAATAATTCTGTTAGTATATAAAAAGACTGGCAAGCGGGTAAGAACTATCCCCCTGCCGCCAAAATAAAATAAACTTGAAAAGTGAACGACACCAAAAGAGTAACAACATAAACTAAGGAAAACAAAAGAAAACTTTGAAAAAACACCACTGACTACTTTATTATTAGTAGTTATCACAAGCAATAAGAGAAAAGAAAAAAACACTTCTCACAAGAGTGACAAATTCACAAAGAGCCCTAAACTTCTGGAAGAAAAATCATCAAGCACCTAAATCCATCTAAATCACCTTCTAAATTAATCAAAGTGAACAATGAATAACAGACTGTAGCAGCGCCTTCTCCGTCCTACGCCAAATAACACCCAAATAACAAAATATAACAACGCGGAAATGAGATCAAATCAATTATTTTTATTATTATTTGCCTATATTTTCTGTAAATAAGGATAGTTTACATAATAATATGAAAAAGAAAAGCATGAAGTCAGCATTTGTGCTGTTAACAATAATAATCGTAATAGTAGTAGTAGTAGTCTTTCTATTACTTATAATCGAAAAAGTGTCAGCACTGGTGTACAACCCTACTGACCATTTGGTATAATTCATTGTGTAATGTGTTGCTAAACACTCAGAGAATTTAAAAAAAAACTCAGATAAAAGAGAAAAAAGTAAAAAAAAAATTACATTTCATGCAAAGTAATCTTTGTAAGATATTCTCTGTATGCAGTTAGTTGCCAGCGGTTTTACTGCTGTTATCATTTACTAATGCTATTACTACTATAGGGCATATGCTGATACAGCAAACAACGGGAGAATACAATATGCACACGTTTGATAGACAGATAGATTGATAGATAGATAGATTCGTGAGTGAGTGAGAAAGATATTTACGCTGATGATGACATTATTAAGTGTTATATATCTAATATATGGTTATGAATGTGTGAAGAGAATCAACACTGAAGTAATAGAACCTTCAGTGTCTATATGTAGATATGTGTACACATCTCTCTCTCTCTCTCTATTTCATAAGATACACAGAAATAAGATTCCTGTAGTGAAAGTTCAGGCAAGAGATATAAGAAGAAAACGGAGTAAAGGGTACTCCACATAGAACAACAACAACAACAATAATGATACTAATAATCACAATGACAACAGCATTCTGTAAAAGAAGCGAAAATTAGGAGAAGTAATGAAGAGACAAAACCGATGAAGAAATCCTCTGAAGGTTTCGAAAACACAATAGCTAAGCATTTGTAGTAACAAGCACAATATATGCAAAATAACCTTAGAGTTATAAAATACTAGTAAAACAATAATATTTGTAAGTACGAAAGATTACAAAAGACAAACAAACAGGATTATGCAAAACAGTGATGATGCACAGGAAGAAGAATTATTCTAATAGCTAGAATGAATACAACTATAAGTAGTCAGTGCTAACAACTACTCATCATTAAACCAAGAGTGTTTCGGGGGGGAGGGGGGGGCGGGATGTAACAACAAATAGCATAATGCACATTATTGCATACAACCATAGACACACACACACACACAAAGTGATAATAAGTTTTTAAAAGCAGTAAGATGCATACATACACCAATGTACAAACATGTAGCACAAATTAAAACAGAACACAGACAAAGAACATTACAAGCCAACGTAACAATGCGCAATTTGTTAGCAGGCATGTAAATAGTTTTAGGGGATATATATATACATATATTTACATACATATTTAAGAAAATGGCAACATTTCCAAACGAATGAATTACCGTCCGAATTTATGATCGCATACGTGTGATTCATACAGTTGTTTAGAATTCATTGATGTAAGACGATATAGTCACACAGAGAGAAAAGTACGATGGTCACAGGATTGTATTCAATTAGCAAGATGAGTGATATAGGTAGAGAAAAAAACAAATAGACAGAAAACAAAAAAATAGAGAGGAGAGAATTAAAATTGAAGAGACAGCTGGAAATTGTTTTTAAAAAGACTGAAAAATAACGACAATAAGATGGAAGCTAATAATATGACATTTTCATATATATATATATATATATATATATATATATCACAAATCTTGTGAACATAATCATCATAATAATAAAAAGTGTTACTGTGAGCAAAGGCCAAGTGAAATGCTATTCAGAAACCAACCACATACAGGTTTTAATGCAGCATACAATGTGCTGTGCTGAATAGTTATTTGGATTCCAGCAGGGGGTTGACAGACAACCACCGACACTTACACAAGTTTTCTACTCATCATAACGGTTGAATGAAGTGGAAATTACGGGACTACGCTATATCTAAATCTTGAAAGACACTTTCAGAAGTATTCATATAATTGAAACATATCAAACAATCATTTACTTATTCCCACTCATACACAGTTCAGTGGATATAATTCAGGGAACTATTCGAAGGCGATTTAAAGTATAAAATTAGTACAAAA